TAAGAAAATCATTAAACAGCTGTCAAAGACAGCCTCCCGGGCTCATCTTAAAAATCCTACACACGACTTCTGACTATATCATATTATTTTCCTTTAAGTTTCAAAGTCTTCCACTTCAGGTAGATTATCCTTCACTTGAATTCTTCTTCTTTCGCCGTCGCAAGATTTCATATCGGTTGAAAGTTTCTTTTAAATGTGAAGTGAAGCAACCTTTACTTCTCCGAAAATCGTCTTCTTTATCTTAGTTTCTATCTCCTGCATTCACAGTGGCCGCTCAACACATCAAATACAAGCTCTTAGGTAAACTGCTCACATAAGTAGAAAAAAATCCTCGCGCCGCCATCTTTGTTTTAAAGTTCCTCTTTTAATCTCGCGCTTCTTTCGCACGTTTCTCTCGCGCGTGACGCAAGAGTTATGTGTTCCCTGCGCGAGAAAACTAGTATGAGCCACCTTAAGGCACGACCTTCTGTGAGAAATATTTTAAATAATCGTCTCCCTCGAATAATCGCCCACTTTTGGCGCGAAAAAAGAAATAATCGCCCCCGGCTATTATTTTCGAGGAAATACGGTAATAAAATTTTATTTGTATAGCGCTAAAATCCACTAAGTGTCTAAAGCGCTTGTTACATCCGTAACATACCTTTTGTGATCTATAACTGAAAAGATGCACCGCAACATAGAATATAATTGTTAACTAGAACATGGTGGCCTAAAATAACTCAGATTACCCGTGTGCCATGCTATAGCTGTTATCAATTGTTATCTTAGAATAAACCATGAAGTGTAATGATGCTTTATTTGTTTTCTCCTTGCAGTTAAGCATGTACAATGCACTGATGATAACAAACACAAAGGAAGTTAAAGACAATCAATAGCATTGGTAAGTACACCATATATTTTCTATCGCAAACTGATGGCATTTTTGCTTTCTTGGAACGCAGCGTGGGAGGACTCAAAGATAAACAAAAGCTATCGTGAACTAAAAAATAAAAGATATCACATAAATTGGCTGACACACAAAAGTAGCAGCTTTAAAGGTTTCCATCGATCGGCCGCGCATTAAAAAAATTGATCATCACACAGTTTTTAAGGTGGCCCGCAACAATTTTTTGGTTACTACGATACGATAAACAAAAAGCCTATACTAGTCATTGTTGAACATGTTGAACACATCATGATCCTTATCGTAAAGCAATAGTTACCATAACAACAGTATAAGCTGTAAAAATAGCCTTAATTCTCCTAATTCTGCTTTATATTCTGGACACTGAAAAGACGACCTCGTTGAAATCATTAATTTTTCCACCATTAATGAGTGTTCAGCATATCGATTATATTATTCCTCGTGATTATTTCCTAATAGATTCGAGCCATGTTAATTTTTTATAATCTTACCAAAGAAAGGCCAACATGCATTATATGACACAAGCATAATGTGATTTTATCTCGAAGCCCGTCATAGTTAAGTATTTTGGTGTGCCGTTGCATGGGGCAAGGAGCGTCGTCAATTACCAAATGAGGTCAGATCAAATAGCACCTGGTCCTTCTCGCCTTCATTCCCATCGTGTTAACATCCGAACACAGATTTTCGAGGGACATTTTTTAACATTTACAATGCGGTTATTGCACGGTACACTGAGGAACAACTCAGTTCGTAGTCGAACTTAGTCTGGTCTCGTTCGATTTGATTAATTACCGCTCAACTTTATGAACATGTTAAGAACGTTTCAGGCTCAAATCGCGAAAAAAAAATTCGAACGCTCAGCCTCAGCACCACAATTAGATGTTCATATAGAGAAGAAGAAAAAAAAAGAGTAGCACAAGCACAGGACATTAATTTGGAATCGCTTAATGCAACAATGACACTCAAGAAACTGCGAAAATTGTTAGGCTGTAAATAAACTATAAATTCCTATTTGTTTTTTGGCTTTTTTGCTTTTGCTTTTTAGTCTATGATAAAGTTTCTACGAGCATCCAGTGTAGGCTTTTTGTGCATTTTCATTCAATTGTGTATTGAATGTTTGAAATATTTTCGTGCATTCCTCTGAAAAGTTCTCGAAAATTTCAGCGTGAATTTATCCATTAATGTAGAGCATTTATTTTTTATCAAAAATTAGTTCTCAAATCGGCAGAATTTTTTTCTCTCGGCAACCCTCCATGCGCAAAAAATTTCAAAAGAGATAGCCTATATTTTGACCTGTCCCTTTTAAAAGCGCACAATCTTTTTAATTACTTTGTTGGTAAAGAAAGCAAGACGCATTTGTTTCTTACATCTGTATTTTTATTTCAACTTGAATAAAGCGTTTGTTTACTGAGTGAATTTTAGTATAAAATACAGTGAAAGACTAATTATGAAAAAGCTATTAAGACAAATTTCTAAGGAATGCTACGAAATAACTAAGCCAAGTAAATGATTTTGTCAGGCGAAATATCCGAGCCGAATCGTCATGTTGACAAAATTGCTTAACAAATACAACTAGGTCAAAAAATCTGGTTGTCAGACCAACATTTTACTTAGTAACAGAATTTCACAACAAATGTATACTTAAGTCGAAAAAATTGCTTAAACAAATATAAGTGAAGTTTGCATCACATTCTGAAAGATTTTTTATTGAAGTTCCATGAAAGTATGGTGTTCATTGCTAAGTTTTTTTATCTCAATGTCAAAATGTGAATTATATCCATTGCTTACCTACTACTTTCTTGAAGTTAGTAATTGAGAGTTTGTTTGTCCGTCTTCGCAATCATGCGATAGTTTCAAAAAAGAAAAATAGGCACCAAACGACTGAAAAATTTTTGTGAAAAATTTCTCGTCGCTTTTATTACTAACAAATCAATGAATTTCATCTTTGGGTTGCAGATTTTCACTTGTGATCATGCCCACTTCTACAAAACTTCGTTTTATCCCAGGACAACTCGCAAATTTTCTATTCTAGAAAAATTTGGACGAGTCTAACGGAAAAAAAAATAGACGTAATCTATTATATACCTAAAGATGACTGTGCAAAACGCAACTTCTGCTTCCTCCACAGTCCACTTCATGTTGGATCTGCCAGGTTTCCGTAAGAATCCACGATACTGCTTGCGATTCCATGGAAATCCGAAGTAGTATAAAGTGATGCTAAAAGAAAAAAAAGAAAGCAATCATTGAGAATTTCAGGAATGTTGTGATCATTTTCAATAAAAAATTCATGACCTTTATACATTTGCAAGAAAATATCAAGTGATAATCTCTTGAATTACAAGAGAATATCAACTCTTGATTCATTAAATTTACAAGCTAGCAAAAAAATTCACATGGGTTGTATTCGCTAAAGCTGCCATCTAATTTTCACAAGAAAAACAAAAACAGAAAACAAAACCTTGTCGAAATGTGATGGCCAGCCGCCCCTTAGGGTGAGTTTGATTTGCATTACAAATGAAAAACAATATGGCGGCCATATTAAATATGGCCCTGTGAAAGATATTCAAGGTCAGCTCAACAGGCACGAAGTATAGTAAACAGAAAATCAGCGTCAAATTTTTTCCTCGAGTTTTACCGTAAAAACTAAGAATGACCGTGAAAATTACAAGAAATCATAAGAATTGTCGGAAATTGAGATTCCTGTCTCTACCGTTTAAAATCAGTTGCGAGTTAATTTGCATCAAAATTGCTGGTATGAAGAGAAAAAGACCAAAAAGTATGGTGGTTGAATTAAATACATACGGCGGAGAGATTTCCGTAGAATTTCATTGTATTCTAAAACAAAGCCGTAGTTCCACAGACAACCTATTGCTGTCAGTTGTTTTTTTGTTTTTGTCAGTTTGTTTTTGAACTGAGTGCATAATGAGTTATGAGAAATCTTGCTAAAGAAGGACTCATCGTTATCTGTTTCGATTCCACACACAGTGTAGATCGATATCCAAATTTTTTCACTTTTACATTAATTAGTTCTTGAAGTGTGATTTCTTTTTACCAAAAAAATTATCGCTCAGCATGTGTTGTTCCAAAAATTTTTCTTGTTTGGTTTCGTTTCGCACCAAATTAAAAAGGGTTTTATTTAAGACGATTAAAATAATCTAATGAAAATGTGATCGAAAGACATAATGATCAAAACAAACCCATCCCTGGGGTCCACCGATAGAGGAAAAGAAAAGAGAAAGAAAAAAAGAACTCAGCATTTTATTAGTCCATTTGGTGACACAGTTGGAAGGGCTGTTGACCAGGCAGCAGAAAACAATCATTTTCACTGAACGACAAAGGAAAAATACAATTTTAGACATGCTGAAGCACAAGACTGATATTGATATAGATAAAAGATATTAAATAATTTTTTTTAAAAAAAAAACCTTTCTAATGCTCACCTTTAATTTGGAAATACAAATATCACTGGTCTTTATCATTTGGCAGCCATGTTTTTGTCATCCTTTGTAGTCGGAGAGTGGAGACCTGAATAGAGATGATGATGAGGATAATGATGATGATGATGACATGAAATCAGTTTGCAAACAAATTGCAAGTGCAATTTTTTACCATAACCAGAATTGAGGATACCCTGAGCAATTTGTCTCAAAATGACTCCAATTTCAGTTGATACAGGACCAAGTGGTTCATCAAAGTATATTTTGCAAACCTTGTTGTACCGTAGTTGAATCGAGACGAGACATTCCCAAATAAAAAAAAAAAAATCAATCAATCAATTTATTTAACGTGGTCAGAACGTTTAGCTAAAAGCTAGTTTACAGGTACGCCACAAAATAAAAAGAGAAAAGGAAATTATAAATTAAGCCTTGTAAAGGTATATAAATTTAAATAAATTGAGATTAAGAACTAGCTAATATTCAAATATAAGAATTTAACAGTTGAATATATAAAATGTAATCATTAAAAACAGGAAATATAATTAAGGATAGATCCTCACCGCGCTAGAGTCCCGTGAGATCAAATGTTTTTAAGTAATTTTTAAAAGTAATAAATGTTTGTATTTTTCGAGACTCGTCCGGTAAAGCGTTCCATAGTTTCGATGCCGCATATCTCCATGATCTTAACCTGAAAGTTCTTGATTTTACTTTTTGGTGGTCCAGTATTGTGGTGCCCCTAAGGTTATAAGTGCAGCAACTTACTGTTATAAGATCACGTAAGCTTTTTGGTCTTGCATCACTGGTTAATATCTTAAAGACAGTGGACAATATTTTCGCTAATCGCTGTTCACGAAGACTTGAGAGACCGATACGCTTACAAAGTTCCTCATAAGGTGAGGACTTATCTCTAAAAACAAAACGGAGCGCACATTTGTTCACCAACTCTAACTTGTCAGGTGACTTCTTATCACAGAAGTGCCACGTTTCGGAGCAGTAATTAAAGTGTGGTAAAATGAAGGCTTTGTAAAGATCCCTTCTAGTCTCAAAAGACAACATTTTCTGCATCCTTTTTAACACAGCCACCTGTTGACTGACTTTTCTACATATTTTAGCAATGTGCTTTTCAAAATTTAATTTATCATCGATTGTCACGCCAAAAAGTTCCATTGTGTTGGATATCGGAAGTTGTGACTCCTCACCCTTAAACACTGGTTCATCAGTTCCTTTGTGTAATCCCAACACCATTGCCTGGTATTTTAAACTGTTCCTCTTCATACCATTACATTGTTGATTGTTTCTTCAATTTTGGAGAGTTGATTGTCGGCGTAGAAGTTTTGAGTGTCATCAGCGTAAGTGGCGGAGTGCACTTCTTGGTGACGTATGAAAGATAGTTCATGAAGATGTTGAATCGTAAAGGCCGAGAATGGATCCCTGTGGTACACCATTACATATAGGTTGCCAATTGGAAAGCGTATCCCCTAGTCTCACTCTTTGGAATCGATTTGATAAATAATCTTTTATCAAGGTGGTTGTTGCTTCATCTGCTCCATATTCTTTTAATTTCAAAACAATCAGTTCATGAGGTAAGGTGTCAAAGGCCTTGGACAAGTCCATAGAGACCAGACCGATCAATTTGTTGTTATCAATTTCTTTTTTCCATTGTTCGGTTAGACTAAGAAGTGCTGAGTCGCAGCCGTGATATTTCCTATAAGCAAACACATATTTGTGATAAATTTCTTCAAAATACGGGCTTATTCGGCAATGAACAATTTTTTCGAAAACCTTCGATAAAGCTGGCAGAATCGTTATCGGCCGATAGTTAGTTTTTAATAGGCTGCAGTCTTTTTTGAGAATTGGAGTGACCTCGCCAAGTTTCCACTGTTGTGGTATCTTAGTTGAAGTTAGAACATGATTAATCAGTGTACTAAGAGGGAAGCATAAAACATCCATCGATTCTTTAACTGCTAGTGGAGGGATCCCATCACATCCAGAAGCCTTGTTTGGAGCAAGTTTCCTCATTACTTCGTAAACTTCTGTTGGATTAGTGTTGCTTAGCGACACATTCGGCTTGCTTATTAAGTTATTTGATATGTGCGATAAATCTGCTGGATAGCCATTTTGATTTTGTTCTTTGGTACTTTGAGTACAGCTTGTGAAGAAATTATTTAATGTCTCGGTCACCTCTTGAGGATTCCTGATGATTTTGTCACCCTCCTTTAATGTTATTCCGCTATTGTCTACATTCTTTCGGGAATTAACATAAGGCTTGATGGCACCCCAAAACTTCTTTTGATCTGCATATTTTTCTGAACACAGCTTCTCAAAATGTCTACGTATAGATTTTCTCCTCATGCTAACTACTTTGTTGCGCACTAGACGGTAGCTCTCCCAATCACACTTATTACGTGATCTATTAAATTTTTTCTTAAGCCGTTTTCGTTCCACCATTACTCTCCGNCTTACAGTGATGGAAGAGAATTCAACTCGACTGAGATGGTAAATAAAGCTCCAATGCCCACTCACTGAGAGATTAAGATATAAGCGTACCGTCCGATGAACACTTTTAAAGCTAAGGGCGTCAAAAAGCTGCTACAAATCAAATATGTCTCTCTCGTGAAGTAAGGACAACAAATTAAGCTTGATATTGAAGCTAGCGCTAACTAACTTATAGCAGTAGTTTCTGTGCTTTTACCAACCTGAAAAATTCCATCGAAGGTCATCCAGCTCAAAATTTTGATAGAGTGTATTTGGATGTTGCATTCCTTGACCTCCGTACCTCCGTGTGTTTCTGAGTTCAGTCCACTGAGCTATCATCTTGCAGCCGTATGGTGTATCTATAGTTTTTCATGGACGTAACCTCCTTTTTTTCTTAGTTGGAAAAGTGACTCAGAATGATGCATTCCACTGCAAAGCTTCCACCGAGAAGAAGCAATGGCGGACAGCAAGCTAAACTGCTATGAATAATTATCTTTGGATTAAACACGTGCTCTTGGAATAATTTGTAAAGCAATGTGAATTTGTCACCGTTTCCTGCGTCCAGTCTCACTCCCCGATTCCTCCAATAAAATCCTTGTTTGAAATATATTTCCTTTTTTTCTTTGCCTTTCTTTCTACAACTCCACAGACGTGCCTAACATGAACTGGCTCATATTGCTGCTCTGCCTTGTGTATCAACTTATTTTACGCGTCGAGAAGAACCAGAAAATTGAAGATTCTTAGGATTCGGGTATTTTCATCACCTAAATTTAAGTTTGTATATTTTTGAAATAAGAAAAATCGTATCTTACAGAGGTGGGAGAAGCGGGAAGAGGGTGTAGTGGGTGTAGTGGGTGTAAAAGCAATCCTTAAGGCCTTCCTGCTGATTTCTACCGGAAGTTGCGGGGCATGCTGGGTCAAAAATTCGGCGAAACTAGCTCCAGTCTCCATTGTAAAAAAACACGCGCGGAAAAATTGCGTCGGTTTGTTTTCATTGTTTGCTTGGTCATCCCCCAGGAAAAAATAACCTTTTTTTGTAGTGAAGCTTGAACGCTGGGTTTAAGTAGACTTTATTATAATTTTTAACCCAGCAATCCTTAACGCCTTTGCTATGTCCCCGGCAACACAAATGGAAGATTTGAAAAAACTTCAAAGCATTTTATATGCGCAAATAACAGCACGTGATTATATAGAAGAGAGTAAATTCTACAAATAAATTAAAATCACTTTACTTTATTTCGGATATGTAGAATTCAGTTAATAAATTTTCTAAAATTTAACTATTATATAGTCAAGTACAAAATATGGTTTGAAGTAAGTATTCAGAGCTAAAGAAAATTTAAGAATGATGAATATTATGTCCATATATAGTCACTAATCTCTGTGAGAACGAAACAGAAAGCTAAGTAATTGACCATTTTAAATGTCAATTTTGCTGAAGTTGTTACATAAAATTAAAATATTTCTAATTAATGCGGGTGCCAAACGCCGTTCAGTGGAGATCTTACAACGGCTGTCAAAATCTAATGTACTCGTAAATGATTAGAGGAATAGAGGACGAAAATCTTTACTAGCCAATCAAAAGACGCGAAAGGAGCACGAACTCTATAAGTATCATAAATACAGTTACTTTAAATGTTCAAAATACTTGTTCTTGAATTCTGCGTTGTTTTAATAGATAAAGTAAACTTGATTGAAATTTATATCATGTTAATCATTTCTGTTCCTTTTTTCCTTCTGGACTTCTTTGTCCGTACGGTTTTGTCCCGGTATTTTTTTTTCCCTGTGAGTTTCCCCCTCTCCACGATTTTCTTTTTGCCTAGGGGTTTTTTCTTCAATGTGGGTTTGTTCAGCCCTTCGGTTTGGAGTCTCTTCTGCTCCTCGCAAACTGTCCTTTTCATGAGTTTCCTCTTTCCTGAGGGTTTCTTCTTTCCCAGGGGTTTCTTCTTCCCCGCGGGTTTGCTCCTCCCACGGGTATCGTTCCATTCTCTCTTGGAAGTCCTTCTCCACCAATCTGCTAATCTCCCAAACTTTCAGATCAGTTTCACGGTCATTTCCAGCATTAATCCAATTATTTGCTGCCCATTTTGTACCCTCCAGGACGTCACATCCACCATGATAACTCATCAAATCTATTGGGCCCAGCCAGCCAGTTTCTTCGTTGACAAGATGGTTGTACCAAAACAAGGCGGTTCCACGTTTTGGTTTGTAGTACAAGTTGGCATCATAGCAATGGTCACTTAGGTCACACTTGTTCACTACACCATCCGTCAGAGCCTAAAATGAATAAAATCAAGAGGGATTCAAAATTAAGAGAGGAACTGACGTCAAGACAAGTTTACAGACCAGGAACACACAGGACGAGGGAAGGAAGAAAACCAAGTAGGGAAAGAAGGTAATAACTAAAAAGAAGAGCGAAGGAACGAAGGAACGAAGGAGTGAAGCAGCGGAAGAGCAAAGGAACGAAGGAACGGAGGAACGAAGGAACGAAGGAACGAAGGAACGAAGGAACGAAGGAACGAAGGAACGAATGAACGAATGAACGAAGGAACGAAGGAACGAAGGAAC